ATCTGTAACACACACATTGGTGCCCAGCACTCAGCCTGGGATAGGGGGTAGGCAGTGGGGGAGACCGACCCCGCCCGCCGCCTGTGTACCCTCCTGTCTGTGGAGTGGAAGTGCTCACACTTTTTAAAGTTGCAATTCAGCATAATAAATGCTCTGATTTGTGCTGTTGGACCTTAAAAGGAAGCAGGAGAATTATCTGCAGCAGCACGGTAAGGACCCAAGACCCCAAACTGGTAAGAACGAGCCACAGTGTGATTGAAATGGGACTGGGGCTGGGACCCTCAAGAGACGCAAATGCCCAGCAYGTGTGGGAAGACACCCTGCCCCACTCAGGGGCTTGACAGTGTTCAAAAATATCTGCCCCTTAGGTAAAAAAAAATGTCTTCAAAAACGATGACCGGCACCTCTGTGCACTATTTGCACAAGGGCAGGTGGAAGATATCTGCTTCAACGTGCACTGCTCTGCCTTTGGTGGGAGGCCGTGGGTCCCCCGTGTTCACCCCCTGCCTGGAAGGCGTCACCCCCACTGCCATGGGATCACAATCTCCTTAGGAGATGGGGACTCGGCACGCTCCACTGCCATCTTCTGGGCCAGGTGATGTGCGCTGGCGGAGGTCACGACCAGAGGTTGTGAGAGCTGCCGTACTTCTCCACCCCCACCCCTCCCTCTGCCACTAGCACAGCTCTGCGTTGTCACACAGCCTAGTGCTGTGCACCTCCTTGAYGTCTGCACCTTCATAAACGTGTTCACGTGGCGGCCATCACAGGGCCCACTCCTCTTCCCCTGGGGACTTCACTGGCCTTGTTTCCCATGTGTCCTTGTCAGCGGTAAATGGCCTCTCATCCACCCCGCACGCTCTGTGGCCCTCCGCATGGGGGTCGCTGGGCCTTCATCAGCCATCCTGCTAATCAGTAGCCCAGGGACCTTTTGTTTACCTCTTGCACTGGCTGTCACATGAATGCGCCTCTCCCTGCGCCGGCAGGTCCCCCGAGTCCGTTCCCGCTGCGGACCTGTGAGGCCCCAGCACAGGGAGCCTTCAGATCTCTCAGGAGTGCTCAGCTCTGCTCCAAAGTCTCTGTCCCACCCACTCCTGCACACTGGGCCTCGTCTTCCTGCAGCTGTCAGCCTCCACACCAAGAAGGAACGAAGTATGTCGCCTTGAGACACGTATTATGCTACAGGTGGCTTACTTTTCCTTTACATTTTYAAGAATACCGGGTGGCCGTGTGGCACAACAGGTCTCTTCAACTCTTCCCTCCTAGCTGAGATTTTCACCCTCTGACCAGYGGCTCCCCAACACTCCCCGTTCCCCACAGGCCCTGGTAACCACCGTCCTGCTCCCCATCTCTCAGTTCTGGGGTCTTATGTTCTGTAAGTGAAATGATGCCACGTGGGGCTTTCTGCACCTGACTCACCTCACATGACATCACATCCTCCAGTTTCGTCCATGGTCTCACAAGGAACAGACTTTCCTTCTTTTGAAGGCTGAATAGTGTCCCACTGTGTGACCACCACATGGTGTGAATCCATCCGTCCACTGGTGGACACGGCTGCTTCCCTGTCTTGGCTGTGGTGGGTAATGAACGAGGGGTGCAGCTGTCTCTTTAAAACTGGTTCATTTTGTTTGRCTCTGTACCCAGTAATGAGAGGGCTGGATCAGATGGTGGCTCTATTTTAAATTTGTGGGGAGCCTTTGTTACCCTTCCCTCACAGCTGTCCCCACTGACGTTCCCACCAGCGTGTGCAAGGCCCCGCTCTTCCTCGTTCTCTCCAACACCTCTCCCTCTCCTTGGGATAAAAGCCATTCTACCAGGTGTGAGGTGAAGCCAAGTGTGGTTTTGAGGTGCACGAGGTCCATGATGCATGGCGTCGAGCAGGTTTCCATGTGTCTCTGGGCCATTGTAGCTCTCCTTTCAAGAAATGTCCATTCAGATCCTTCGCCCTTTTCTAACAGGTCGTCTTCCTAAAGTGGGGTTGTCTGAGTTCTCACCCATTCTGCACACGACCCTCTGTGTGCCCCTCCCTGTCGGTGACTCCCAGGCTCCCGCTGTGGGAGCCRCTGCGGGAGGCAATCCCACTCTCCATTTCTGTCTCCTGGGCTTCCATGTTCATGTCCAGCATGGCTGYCCAGCCCCGTGCCAGGCGGTGCTCCCCTGTGCTTTCCCTGCAGCTCTACCGAGGTCAGAGAAAGATGCACAGGTGATCGCAAATCTATCCCTGACGTTTTATTTAAAAATAAATAAATAACTAGGGCAAGTACAGGTCAACGTTGATGTTTGGTAAAGTTTATGGWTGGGCATGAAACACTTTTATGTTATTTTTTTTCTGTGAGTTAAAATATCTGCTTATGTGTAACTATGACCACCTGTATGCAGATAAACATTTCAGAACATTCCAGAAACACTGAGGCTGCTTCTGGAAGAGCCATGAGGTGGGCCTTCCCCCTGTCATTTATCCCTTTTTTCAGTATTTGAAYTTTGGGGAAATGTATTAAGTTTGTGAATTAGAAAGTGAGCAGGGACTTACCCAGGCCCGGAAACTTCCTTGCTGTGTGGATGAGACAAAAGACTTGAAGCCATAAACCTRTGTTTCTCGTCTGTAAATCAGGTTAGAAACATCTACTTTGCAGAACTGTTGTGAAGATTGGGCTAGAAATCATTCGTATGAAACATCTAGCAATGTGCTTTGACATGGGAGGCACTAAATAAATAATAGCTGTTTACATTATTAATAAGAGTACAGGATATGTTCTGTTTGCAAATTTACTCACCCTGAAATGTGCAGAGGAAAGAGATGTAGGCTCTTTATTCCTCCACAACTGGTCTGCTCGTCCATTGTCGGCTCCCCGTGGGGAAAGGGATCCTCCTGTTGGAGAACTTAGTTTGCCTCAATAATTTAAACCTACTGTTAGTACTTGACCCCCTTCAGTAATCGCC